GTCCAGCAGCTGTGAAGAAGCCATAGCAAAGGAGAATAAAAGTTGCATTAAACTTAAGAGATGTAAACTTTAGTTTCTCCTCTGCTATATTCAAATTTAAGTTATTACTCAATCCACCCAAACTCTTGGGGTCACAAGAAGATAAAATGAGACAAGACCAGAATAAAAATACTCTATTTGCTACAAGATTTGAGGCATGACAAAAAAGATTTTCAGTGGTCCTTTCCAGGTGTAAAGATTTGAGAATCCTTATACCTTCTAGTATTTTATAATTTGATATATCATCTTATTAGAACCACTAAGTGAAAGAAATATGAAATTCCAGTTTGTAAGAAAGATATGGAATTGCCCAAGATATATATATATATATATATGCACATATCCTTAAAAATAAGAGTTTTAGAGTTGAAACAGGTCTTAAAGAGATCATTTAATCAGCTTCTATTGCTCTAAGCTCAAAAGGCTAGATTTGTGCAAATTCTCTGGGTATTACTGATCCGCAGAGAAATCTATTTTGTTGGACTACCAAAATGTATAAGGATAAATAGTAAGTATATAAAATGTATTTGGTTAGAGGATCTGTAAAGGAATAATTACACGGTTCTATTCAAGTTAGTAGAAACAAAATATATTAAACTGATGGCTCTTAGAGATGTGTCCCTGTCAAGTGTTTCCTTCCATTATGCTATCCACACATTCTTTATATATTTCCTGATAAGTTCTAATGAAGACGTTATTGGTGACTTAGAGGCCAGACAAGAAAACAAACTATAGTAGTATATATGAATATAAGTGAGAATATACTCTGTAAAAATCTGAGGTTACTAGGGAATCCAAAAGGATGAATCTTTAAAACAAAAGGATTTTTATAAATTAATATTATGAAGAAAGTTTGAAAGAGGTCAGAGTTGTTCAAAACTGGTGCTATATAAATTTATATATTTTGATTTTAGCACTATCTAATTCATTTAGTATTCTACTCTGTGCTGTGCACGGAGTATGTATTAAAGAGAATACAGGTAAGATGCAACTCTCACTTCCAAAGAGAGGCTTGTTGAGAAAGGGAGACAGAATGTAAATCATTGTCAATAAATTTAAAATGACATAATAGAAATATGCAGAAAATGCTATGAAAAAAGTGGAGGAGTAACTAAGTCTTGCTGGGAAAAAAGAAAAGACTTCAGAGTCCTTTAATAGTGTAAATAAACATCAAACTCAGAAATCAGATATACTAAAATTTGATTTTTGAATGTTTCTTCTCTCTACTATATAATACTTCATAGAAGTTAGGTGAAAAGAAATTAAAATAACAAAGAAAACATGAGAACCATTTAAAAAATGTAGTTATTAATTTGCACATAGCAAACAAAACAAAACAAAACAAAACAAAAAACAATCATGACTAATAATCAGTCCCAAGCTAACTTTGAAATCTATCTGAAGGGACATCCACCTTTGTTAATTAAAAAAGAAACAAAAACAAAACCCACTCAAACTCAAGGTTAGAACTAGAATAATTTCTTCCTAAAGAAAAAGTTTTTGAACCACAGTCCTAAATTGGAATTTCTCTTTGACTAAACTGCCTCTACAATCCTTTAACATTGGTCCAATCGTGGACAAAAGACTTTTCTTCCATTACTCATAGCACAGCAGAAACAAAACTGGAATGAACATTCAAAAATATTGGAGTAAAAGGCTAAAAGATGCAAATAAGAATAAGATGAACAAAGAGAATATCATGAATGTAGGGGATCAGATTATAAATTACCACTTATTTATCTTCAATTTATAATACCATAAATGTATCCCTCTCTTCTTTCTCATTCTTGTTTACCCCTCCTCCACCCTGCAAAAAAGAAAATCTTTGGCTACCACCACAAAAGAGTACCTACCCTCCTACAGACCCAGAAAACTATGTCAAGAGAGGGTGCCACCACATTCACTATCAAATCTCCATGGCTAGTTTTCTGGGTTTCTGTTTCTGGCTAAAGCCCTGCCTCTTCCCAGATTGACTAAAACTGGAGATATTCAACTCTTCAAAGCCGTGTCACCATCATTCTTCCAGACTTCAAAAATAAATAAACTGATTCCAATAAGCCTTAACACTCATGTGACATGGAGGTGGGAAATGGGGAAAGTCATGCCTTCAATAACTTCTCTCTCTTTTGTACCAGTTAAAACCTTCTTATATCAATGATACCCAAATTCAGCTTTTGCAATATGAGCAGACATCTAACTATAAAGACAAAATTCAATTCAAAACAATTTTAAAACCACAAATGATATTTTTGGTAAAAGAACGTGTTCACAAAAATCAACAAGTATTAAGTATGAAAGTATCTCATTTTAAATCACACATTTAACATTATGTTTTGAACTAGTAATCTATAAAATTACTCACATACATATGAAATAGCTAAAAATACTAACTTGATTTCAGAGAGTACTATGAGAAAAACTTCTAATTATGGGACATAACTGCTTTAGAAATGAAAATATATACAGCAGGACTTCACAGGAATTCAGTTATTACAACTAAAGCTGAAAACTGTAGTGCTCATCTTAAGGAATGGCTCTATCATTTCTTCAAATAATATCTACTTTAAATAAACTCACTGAATCCACTTGTAAATTATTTCTCTTTGGCTGTCTCATTATTCAATATGCTTTCAAGGAACATGATGATGAAAGAAGAAAAATACCTCTTTCTAACATAACCTTACTGGCAAGAGCATCAACATTATCAGTATTCAAAGAATGTCTTGGCAGGTTAAACCTTCATAAAAAGAAGGAACACTATCTAATCCAAGATGTCAAAATAGCAATAGTACTTCCCATATTATGTGAAATGTAATTGTTTGTTTCTAATGCAGAAAAAAATTTTCAAAACAAAAACAAAAACAAAAACAAAAGACGCCAATATTGTCATGTTTAAATTTTAAGCAAAGGCACAAATATTTTTCAGAAAAGCACATAAAGAATGATAAAAGTGAGCATGTTTAAAAGAAAAAGGCTAAGACCAGAATGGCAATCAATGTCCAAAAAGATTTATGATAATATGTCAATGCTATTTGAGGAAGTTTAACAATACACTTTAACATCTGAGGCATAACAGCACTATTAAGAAATTAAAAAGCGGAAAAATAATTTGTACTAAGGAAAAAAAGCTTGAAGACAGACGTCTTGTTCTAATTCAGTCTGTGATTTCCTTGTGTAATAATAGATAATGCCTAATTTTACTTTTGATAATCTTACATTACTTTCATGGTGTAATACTCTCAGCACACTCTCCAGGATCTGAACTGTGTCTGAAATTACTGAAGACCATTGAGGGACTTGTTTTTGCTCAATGTAAGTTCAGATATTTTGTCTAAAAATAATAAAATGTAGTATATTACAAAACACTACTTTCCATTCTCCAAAGAAAATGCCTACACTGATGATCTTACAGTAGTTAGGAAAGTAATATAAACTTAACCAAGGCTTACAAGATATCTATATCTATATCTATATCTATCTATATATATTTGACTTTAAATACTCATGAGACAATAATCTTGTTTTATTCTTCTATCAGGTTTTCTCTTACTCAAAACTTTTCGCTTTAGTTGTATTCACTTTTATAAATACATAGTTCCTATCTTCATATTTTACCTTTTCCATCAGCATTCCTTTCCTGATCATTTCTTCTGTTTTTGATCTTTTCTTAACTTGTATATACTCAACCTTTAATTACTAACTCTCCTTTGGATCAAGAGGTCACAGGGTTATTTATATTAGCAGGATGAGCCTCTATCCATCAACATCCTGAGGAATCATAGCATGGTAGAGCTGGACGGGATCTCGAGGTATCATTTGGTTGAGCTCTATGCCAGCATGAACAGGTGGCTGACTATTCTTAATGTTTTTCTTTCTTTTTTATTTTTTTAAGATGACCAACGATTTTGATGATAAATATTCCACCACAGCTTAGTTTAATACAAAATTTTCTTAAGAGCGAATAAAAAGACAGGGAGTAGAAAGAAAACCAAATGAAAAGGGTTCTGACCCAAGCACTATTACTTGCTATGAAATATAAAACAATTATTTTGATCACTCTGAGCTTCACCTCCCCATATAGAGATAATGCTGTCTAACTCAGTTATTTTAAGAGCTCTGAAACATGAAAAAGAACCGTATAAATGTAACATATTAAAATGGGAAGCAACACAGTAGATAGTAAAGAACCTGTACTCTGCAAGCATGCTGTGTTTCAAATCCCACTGCGAACATTTACTAGCTGTGGAACATGGTGCACAGTATTAAACCTTCCTGAGTTCAGTTCAGAGAACAACTGCAAAACTGGTATGTCTGCATCACTTGACTGTTGCTATGGATTATAGGAGTTTAATGCACCAAGCATAAGTCCTGGCATTGTGTAGGCCCTCAATAAATGTTAATTCCTTATTCCCTACCAGGTTTCCACATTTCTTCAGTGTGGTTCTGCTCTCCTTCCATTAAGTATTTCGAGGTGCACATATAGACTTTCATAAAAAAATAAAATAATTGGAAAATATGTAAACCTTTCTTTCCCCTAAGAGACAACCAGCAACAAGGAGAATTGCTTATTAGCCCTGCTTTGAAAAATGGAAAAAAATGAGGTAGTTTCCCTTAAAACAAAAAACAAATTCTTCCAAAGAAGAAATAGTTTAGAATAAAAGGTGGAAAATGTCACTAAATTGTGAACTCTGCAAAAGAAAAGAGCAAGTCTTTATTTATCATCATATTTAGGACTCAAACATCTCTTGGACCTAAAAGTCTGTTGGTGGAATGGCTGATCTTAGAAATGAAGTGTTCAATCAGATTTCATATAGATACTAGGTAACAAAGATACGCTATATATAAAGATTAAACAAATGGGGACAAATTTTTGAAGACTCTTTACATATCTGATTTAGATAAAATACACTATCCCTTTATAATACCAAAAAAAAAACTTATAGAAGTACAATAATGCTTACCTTGTTATGTATAAAAAGAATCCTTAAGTCAGGTTTAAGTATACCATAGCTTATGAGGAGATCTTGGATCTTTTTTATTTCATCTTTACATTTTTTAGCAGTTGAGTAAAATTGCTTTCTTACAGGTAGATTCTTAAACAATCTTAAAGCAGTTACAGTTGTACCTGTTGGTGGATTAAGAGGGAAGCATACTTAGATGTGGAAGGGACTTCAGATCATCAAATGCTATCACAGAAGGCCAGTACTCCTCCAATTCTGGGAACCCAAAGAAGACTCAGCTTTGTAAGCTATTCTGACCCTGTGCTAGACTCTACTTTTGGCAACAGGACTAACCAAAGTAGGATCTCTTCTGTGTGGTCTATTCAGGAATAATCTTTATTTCTACCACTGCAGAGAAACTTGGGCTCATCAGAACGTAGCATCTTAAGAATTCTACTGGTATTCAAACCACCTGGGAATGATGCTCATTCTGTACTTTAAGGCTATATAGCATATGTGATAACCTTAATTATTCCAATAAAAATTCTTATCTGAAATATTTAATTGCTTGGCTTAATTTACCCTCAACTTCTGAACAACAAATATTAAAGACAGGATAATCCAACAAAAGGTATTTTTTAAATTGTGATTTTAACTAAAAAGGTGAATGAAGGTATAAAACTATAGTAATTAAATATCAGTTTAATAATTAGCTTTTGTTAAAAAGCAAATGAAATTAGTACCATCTTTTCCTCTAAATTCTTTAACATAACAGTTGTTTTAAAAGTTCTCGTCTGCTAATTCAAATACCTGGGTCATCTGTGAATTTGCTTATATCAACTATTTTTTCTCTTGATTATGGATTCTATTTTCCTTTCTTCATGTCTCTCAATGTTCTTATTTTTTCCAGACGTTGTATATGAAAGAACAAGAAATACTGAAGTAGGTAATATTTCCCCCCCGAGAAGGCACTTCATTTCTTCTGTCACGCAGCTAAAGTGAAGACAGGATCTCTTCAATATTATTAGGAATTTATCTGGGTTGGAGCTGAGCTGACCCTTTATTTAGTTCCAGTTCACTTTCAGTTTCAAATGTCTTGAGGATAGAAAGAGGTCTCTTCCTCTAGCAAGGCTTTGGGATCTAAGAACTGCAAGACTTTAAGATCTTTCTCTAGCTCAGTCTCAACTATCTTCATCACTGCTTACCCAGTAAAAGTCCTAATGAGATTTGGCATCTGAGCTGAACTACTTCTGTGTCTGAGAACCTCATCTACCAATCTGTCACGTCAGCTCACATGTGGCTATTAAAAGTTCAGCTGGTTTCTCCTAGAGCCATAAAAGTCTACAGCAGGCTTGCTCCTTTGCTTATTATGCCTCCGGGCTCAGTTAACGTTCCCAGGGATGCAAGCAGCCACCATTTTTTCTTGTCTAGGAAGGGGGTCCATCTTTCTTTTGAACTTAATTCACTTAAATTTCTTTGTGACATAGTTCCTCAATGGTTGTTGTTTTTAGTTTTTGTTTTTGTTTTGTTTTTTAATACAGGCTTTTGAAATCATGTGTTTTTCCCTTTCTTGCTACATAGAGAGCAATGGTTTCTTGAAATCACCTACATCCATCATTCTTCTCTGGCTGAAAGGTTATACTTCTACCCCTATCAAACTACCATTTTCAAACTCAGGTGTTCCTTTCTAAAAAAATTGCTAAACTTCCTCTTGGCAGCTGGTGGTTTCTTTTTACTGTCACCACTTATTTACTCATCTGTGTTCTCTACTAGCCTATGACAAATATAATGGCATATACTGTAGCTGTGAACAGTAGGAAGGAAGGCAGGCAGAAATCAGTTGGGAAAAATATAAATGTGTTTGTGAAAGGAAAAGGTATATGTTGATTCTTAAATATGTTATGTATCAAAGAACATATATATCTAATACAAATATATTGATAAATAATTGCTTTAGCTAAAAATATTCCGAATAAATTGAAAATTACTAATTAAGCCAAGAATTATATGTTTGAATAAAACTTAATGATGAAAAACTGTGCTGATTCCAACTGAAATGCATATCCTTTAAAAAAAGTACCACATAATACTGGGCAATAGGGAGGCCTTACTATACTATTATATTTTACAAGAGAACTGCTCAGCTCTCTAACTTTAGCACATTCTACAAACACCAGAATTAAACTGTAGTCTTATAATATGTTCCCTGTTATATATTTTTACATGACCCTATGTTACGCTATTTATAAAGGTAGCTATTTATATTCCCAATGTAAAGAGCTATAGTTGCTTGCATATATCAGGGTTTTCTTAAACTATTTAATGAATAAAAGTTCCATCCTCAAGTTGAAAAATCTTTCAATACATGCACAATTACACATAGCAGGGATTTGCAAAGAACATGATGCTCTGCTCTAATAACAGGGTAGGGCAAGGAAATAATATATAAGTTTTGATATCTCAGAAATTTCTATGGGAGAAGTACTAGGAGGTATTAAAATAATTTGTGAGAAGGGTACATCAATTTAGAAAGCTTAATACTGATTATCTAGGATAAAGAGAATAGAAGAGATGACAGCAAAAAAGTATGACTAAAATAAATAATTCAGTCAAGGTTCTTGATAAAGTAAGTTAAAAGCTGGAGATTTATTTTCACATTTTGTGTTAATTTTTTAAATGTCTTAAAACAGAAGCAAAGAGAAGGTAAGGGTAATTTAAAATGACACACTGTTAAACACATAAATCATTATAAATGGCTAAATTAATCCATAAAACAAATACCTACCCTTGGAAAACCACAACTGGAATCTCCAGTAAACTATTTTTAGACATTTTAAAATATGCTTTTTAAAAGGGTAATGAATTTTACAATGCCTGAAAATATTTTGTTGTAAGTTGTCCCTGCACCTACAGTTAGGCTAGCTATAGGTACCAACCTGTCAGATGAGAAGGGGAGTGACTGAGTAGTAAAGATGTTCACACCACAGCAGAAATTAATCTACAAAAACCTTAAATGCACAGGTATTAATTAAGATGATTGAACTGTAGTTTTATCTTACATAGAAAATATTTAAATGGAAGCTGAATGACAGCTGGTAGTGAAATGTGAGTCTGTGATTCAATCATTCAAAAACTATCAGCACTAAGGTAATATGAATATAAAATGCTTTGGTAAGTGTTTGTGGATTTCTATAATACATCCACCTAGAGCAATTTGAAACTAAGAGCTTAATTTTTTGTTATTTTCCTAGCCAATCAACTGTATTTGGGGGGAAAAAGTGAGTTGTAAAAGGCAATTACTACTAGTTTAGCAACTAATGACTTTCCAAGTATGTTGTTTCTTAAGGTAAAGGGAATATTGCTAAAGAAAATAAGGTTCATTTACTGACCGTAGAAATTCCTTTAATGTATACCTGACTTCACTAGAAGTAGAAGACTATGTCAGCAAGAAAAGAAAAAAATCAATCAGCAAACGGGCAAAGACCAGAAGGAGTCTACATTTAAGAATTGTTATTTCATAGTTCTCATGAAGATGAATACAGAAAAGGATAAGAAGTATGAGTAATGCAAAGCCATTGGCCATCCAGAGTAGACTAGATACTACTAAGATAAAAATAAATACATTTAAGTTTTATAAGGTGACTAGATTACTTCAAAGTACTCCACTAGATAAGCACTTGAATATCTCCTAATGGTTTCCTAATCTGAACTCCTAAGAACTGGGTTCAGAGCATTTCTGGAGAGGGACCGTATTTAAAAATGCCTGCTCTTCATCCTAACCTTTCATACATAAAAAGAAACAAATCTATTATTTTTAAATAAAATATGTACAACATTATCATACGTCAAATTAAATAGTAATTAGATGAACTCATTTTTGTTAACTGAATAAATAAGAAATGTTGTTGTGCTTTCTTAGGAGTTTCTATTAACTCTTTCCTATATGCGGATACAAAAATGTTAAATGTTAATGAATAAAAGTAATCAATAACTAATGGAAGGATCATTAAAATAAGAATGAGAGAATTTAGTATCAAGAAACGGGAAAATACACTTCAATGAAGAAAGATGAGTCATTTGAAAAAAATAAATCCAACATTAAAACTGGAGGGAAGAAACCACCAAAAAAATACAGTACTTTGATTTTTACAAGGAGGGATCACAAAATTAAAAATAAATTTACAATACAAACTGAAGGAGAAAAAGGGCAAACAACAAAGAAAAAAACACAAGCACCATTTCGAATATAATAATTCTTGTGAACATGACTCAAAAAAAGTCATACATTTAATACTCTCAACTTTAAACATACTATTATCAGAAGTTAGCTGTATAAAAAAGATTAAAGGAGATATGTGGATCTCTCAAACCTGAAGAGACTTTTTTCTTTAGAAGTAAATAGTAGAGGAACTTGGAAACATAAGATGTCATTAAAATTTAATAAAATTATTTAAGTGCATAAAACACTAAAAAACTAAATGACAAATAGTAATAATAATATATTTATTTGCTTCAAATAATACAAAAAGGGAGGAAGTGGGTGAGAACAGTAGATGAAACGTCCGCAATGAGTTAATAATTGTTGAAAACAAGTGACAGGAACACTGTTCTATCTACTTGTGCTTATGTTTGAAGTCTTCCATAAATAAATGTATTTTAAATTATATATTTAATCATAATATCTTGATGGTATGGTTTATTATTGTGGTTACCAAATTAATAATGTTTTAGGTATTTCAATAAAATACTATCTTTCATATATAAAGATGACACTAGTAATCCAGCAAGAGTAAAATAATTGCTCTTACAGTTTTTATAGAGGAATAACTAATCCATGTTGTTGTCCAAAGTCTTTTACACAGTTCCTCTTGAGAACAACTCTTCAGTGTTTAAGAGACTGGTGGCTACAGTACCGGCTGAATGTTCTCTTGGATGTTAACTAGCTATTACCAGGTCCAAGCCCAAAGCAATACATTTGAATTTAAGAAGTAATAATTTTTTAAATAAACAATTAAGACAGAAAAGCTAAAGAATGCTACAAAGCCACTCTCTTACCTTGACCAAGATGTGAAGGTTTTTGAGAAATTATGTGGCCACTTCCATCTAAAACATACTGGGTGCTAAAACTATCAGCAGCTGTCTTTGTTGTAATTAAAACCTGTAATTAAAAAAAAAACCCTCTAGAAAAATTATGATTTTAGATATTGCAGAGAGCTCATCTCAAATTATATTTAAAATAATTATCATATATTTACTTAAGACTGAAAAGTTTTACTTAATAAATTCTTGACCACTTCTCTTTTAATATTCCTTAATTACACTAATAAGCAAGAAGTCAGTTTATATTTTTTATGTGAAATTACTAATTTTTATTTTGAGTATTTTACTCTAAAATATTCAGATATGAATGAGTATACCTGAAATGGCTATTTTTATCATATGCATTATATGACTTACATTTAACTGCATTAGGGGAGTTAGCTTTTCAATAGACATTCTCAAAAATTTGTTGGTAAAATCAAACATCCTTTTGTAAAGTGATGACTCTCCTCTTTTATATTCTGCATAAAGTTGCACTTCTGTATTTCAGATTAATGATTCAAAACAATAAAAGCATATAAATCATACACATAGGTACATATGGCTAATTTTTCTTAAACCCAAGCTTTGAATTCACTGTTGAAATATAAAATTTTTATTAATTAAAAAAGTTTAGCATTAAAATATGGAAGTATAAGAAAGAATTCCAGTTAGCATGAACATTTCCTAAGATGTTACAGTCATAGAAATATAAATTTAAGATTTGTATTCTTTTGAGCTACTCTTCCCCTCAGCTTTACCTATCTTGTGAAATTAGCAAGACAGTATAACAATAGTAAACCATACGCTTGCCAGAAAATACCATAAGTGGGGAGTGGGGATGCAAGGAAAGCAGGGTGGATTCAGAAAAGGGCAGCCTCCTCACACTTCTGGTGAACAATGCCAACCCCGAATTGGAAGCAATCCTTCTTGGCCATCCTTGGACAGAGCAGAGCTGACGATCTTAAAATAAATCTATATAATTTACGAAGAAGCTACAAAGATTCAGCTCCACTGCTGGAACTCAAGTAGGTCCAGTTGAGTCTATATTTGATGGTTCTGTCACCCTGTCCTAACCACGCACTGATGTATTGTAGGCCATATGGCTCAGTGGAACATGTGGGTACCATGCAGGGAATACCGGAGTCACCGCGAAAAAGTATGGCTTCTCTAGCTCACAGTACTAGTAGAGCCCACTAGATTCTCTCTGAGGGGGACGTCCATAAAATCCTTACTAGGGTCATTGCCTCGAGCTGCTGTTTCTGTGATAACTGTTCTTCAACAATCTTAAGTGATTATTTTACTTCTTCCAAAAACATATACCATGGTTTAAAACTTGTAAAATTAAAATTTTTTCCTGATAACTTATCTTAATCTTCCTTGCCACATTACAACTCTACTGTGTCCAATAGTGATTTTGTTCAAAATAAAGAGGTCAGACTGCTAGAGATTTTCTTTCTTGTCTCTAATTACTCCATGATTGTCCCTTTAAAAACAATTCTACATCTAACCAACCACTTCTTCAAAATGCCAAGGTCAACTGAATTCTATTTCTATTCTCCAAAGAGCTAGCCACCTGACCTAAAGTTGGTGTCACTGAGCAAACGTGGCCCTGGAACTCTGAGTTCTAGTATTAAGTCTGCCAGTGGCTTGCTAGATGGTCCTGAGTAAATGATTACACTATCATCTTTAAGGGGAGGGTGATGATAAGATGAAGATGATGCTAATACTTTATAAGGTTACATGGGTTTTTCCTTTAACTACGTCAAAGCACTTTACAGTTATTAACTTATTCATCCTTTAAAAACATTAGTGAATAGTAAATATACTCTGGCATAGATGAATAAGTTGTACTAAAAAGCAAAATAGGACTTCATTGATCATAATGTAACATTTATGTCAAAGTAACAAACCAGAACACATTATTATTTTTCAACACTAAATTTTTTTAGAATTAGAATTTATTTAGATAGGAAATGCTTTGCAATTCATTGCTAAAGACAGTGAAGACAGTGAAGAATAAATCGCATAAGCATGTTTCACAAATTCATGAAATGCAGTGTGTTCCTCAGAGGAAGGAATTGTATTTCAAGAGTTCATTTCATCATATGACCCTGTGTCCTGGGCAGGAAACCTTTTTTTGGACCAGGCACAGGTTCAGAATGTGTTAGCAGTCCAGTAGCTAGCATTTGAACCTGCAATAACTACACCTCAGAAGCATCTCTAATATTACAAATTATTATTGGTGCTTCTTACTGTCGACACTGAGGAATTGTGGCAGTAAATGAATCTACTGGTGTTCATTAAAAAAAATAAAGAAATTAATTTTAAAAAATTTTAAAGGAGTTTATTTCAAAGGGAGAAGTTTTAGAAGTTCTTATAGGACCTTAAAAGTTATATTAGCTTTCAGTTATTAAACACTGATCTTTGGTTCATTACTGAGTTTCAAGAAATTATAGTACTATTATAAAGTTATATAAAAACACTTAAACTTTACATATCTTTTATTATTTACTTATTTATTTTGAATTTAAGCTTTAGATAAGCATAATTTTTCTCAATGTTTTCGATAAAAAGTAAATTAAAAACTTAGGATGTATCCTGGTAATTCATGCAAAAAATCCTCTCAACAAAAATTCATTTAAGATAATTACGTTAAAGTTTCATTTCTGTCTGTTTTTGCTGACTTTTGGAAGAATACTTTGGCATTGAAACATGAAAACTAAAGTAAATGGCCCTCATGATTCAGCTGAAATACAGATTTTGTCTGGATGACTGAAATGTCTTTTTCTTTCTGTGTGTGAGTAGGCATGTTTGCCTGTACATAGTTGTACACTAATATACGCACTCTAACGTCAGAACCCTCTCCCAGATATTCCACTGTGAAAGACTAGCAACAGAGATCTAAACAGAGTTCTATTATTTGTGAGGAGGTTGCATTTGGGAAGCAGGGTATCCCAACTACTTCAAAAATCCTGTATCTATTCTAACTAAAGCTCTACACCACGGATCTAAAGCAAGGGTCCACAGTCCCTGGACCATGGACTGGTACCAGTCAGTGGCCTGTTAGGAACCAGGCTGCATAGAAGGAGGTGAGCGGCAGAAGAGTGAGGCTTCATCTGTATTTGCAGCCGCTCCCCACCTTAGCTCTACTTCAGATCATCAGGCATTAGATTTTCATAGGAGCACTGGTTTCTGATGCCAAAAAGGTTTGGGACCACTGATCTAAAGGACATAGACAGTACTGAAACTGTGGAGCAAGAAACTGCCCATTCATGTGTATAAATAAAGAATATAGAATTAGATATATTTTAAATTTCTCCAGCCAATTTTGATAAAAGCCTACTTGTTTTTCTTTTACAACTAAAATTATTAACATCTTTAAAATAATCTAACAAAAAATAATTTCAACAATTAAAGTTTTGGGAAATAGTCATTTAATATTGAGACAAAATATGATCCCAATTACATATTATCGATCTAATGAGCCTGAGATGATTTACAGCTGTATGACTTTAAAATTATCTGCACTGGTTAATTTGGCAGATAAAATAACTGAATCATTAATTTTTATTATGTAACTGCAATCTGTATCCAAAATTGTAGGGTGGCATACACATGAAGCAGATAGAGACTACTGAGCAGGACATTTATTAGGGAATGCTTCTAAGATGATTACCTGTGGGAGCAGAGCAGAAAGAGAAGTGGGGCTGTGCCAGTCACAACAAATGCCTTGGCTGACCCCAGGGGGGCACTGTGGAGCAAAGACAGCAAGGCAGAGTTGTGAATTGGAAAAGGGCCTTTACAACCTCTCATCAACCAGGTTGCTCTGTTATGACTTAAGGTAATCCTCTTTAGCTGAGGTAAAGGCAATCTCCAGACGGAGACTCAGCTGTGAGCATGCAGTTGCCAGTAGCTGAGGGAGTGAGTGTTCAGTCCTGATGTAGGGATCTGGGCAGTCCAGGGTTCATTACTATTACTACCAAAGTCCAGGCACAATCAAACCTAAATCATCATTGAAAAATATGTCTGCGAAAAAATAACACATATTGTAACATTTCATTTAGATCAAGTTCAAAAGCAGGTAGAACTAATATATGTTGATATAGGTCAGAAGAGCCATTACCTTTGGAGAGTACAGACTGGGAGGGAGCATGAAAGGACCTTCAGGGGTGCTGACAGTGGTCTATATCCAGATCTGGATTACACATATGTAAAAATTCATTGTGGGGTGTGTGTATGCCCACACACTCAGACACACACATATCTATCTATGTGTGATTCTCCCAAAGATTTACAAGGAAAGAATAATGCTGTTAATATTTTCTAAGATAAACGAGCACCTGACATTGCAATGTGAAAACTGAAAATAATTTTTTTAAGTTTATAGTTTTCTATACTTTGACAATTCTTTTACTGCTTTTGTAATTTTGATGAGCAAAATTATTTTAAATATTTATATTCAAGGCATTCAAATGCCTCAAAAATGAAACAAAAGACAAAATACTTAGATATCAAGTGGGTTAAAGTAATCGAATAAAGAAACAAGATAGGCAGTACCACTAGAAAAGGACTTGCAAAACAGCCACCTAAAATCAGAACTACAGTGAAGATTTGGATAAACCATATGGCTTATGTGCAATATATTTTAAAAGACTAAGTATAGTGCTGCCACCTAGCAGACAAAGTTAATAATGACTAATTTCAGTTCTGACAGGTTATATACATCTTAGAAAATACAAAAATGTCAAAATATGTATTTTTCAACAACGCTGCCAAAATAAAGCTTAAATGCTATCAGGCAAGTTTGGACAATAGCTAAAAAATATCAAATACTTATGTTCTCAAACAAATATGATTTCTGAACTAGCCACTGAGAGTTCAATCAATAGTACTATTAATGGGAGCTTCAGAGGTTCCCTGGTAAAAATCCCATCCAATTTTAAAAAC